AACGCCTGGCTAGTCGTCAGGTCTTTCAGTTTCAGGAACATGTCGAAGAACTTCAAGATGATCTGCACGTTCTGCTGCGATTCGACCAGCGTGTCAACCATCTGCTTGCCAATCGGACCGTTCAGAACGTTACCTGAAATTTGTTGAACGCAGGAAAACGATCGACCATACCAAATGTTCAGGTCATAGCGTACAAACCTTCAAGCATGCTCAGCATTAGCACGATCATGTCCTTCTGTAGGCTGAGGAATTCTCTTAACAGTTCTAGCTGCGTGTGGTTTTTACTAAGTTTGTCCATCATGTGAGCGAACAGGAAGAAGAATCCGTTGATCGCGTCCCACAGACGACTATTCGCCAAAGCCATCTGATTGCCAACGCATGGGCCCTGAAGCGAAATCAGCGTTTGTACTTTTTCGTGCATGTCTTCCATGCCAAACCTCCTCTTACCTGAATCGTTTCGGTAATCGTGTTGAACACCTGACTGCAGACTGAGAGCGCTTTCAAGAAATTCTGTTTTCCCGCTTCATCCACTACTTCCTTGCTAGAATAGTGCCAGTAGAAGTCCATTATCGACTCTTGAAGGCGAAGCAGGTAGTCGACCGTGCAAATTATTAGATTGATGCTGGTCGAATTTCCCGGCTGATTTCGAAGGTAGTTTTGAAAATCTGCAAATGTAATGTACAGAAACATGAAAGATAGCGTAATGAAGGCAGAATCAGCTCAGACAATTAAGAAAAACATACAGCTACATACGGGCAGCGAAAGAAAGATACATACAAACAGGGAAAGCATGCAGTGCAATTAACTCTAGTTGCAGTCTACGATGGTGATTTAGAACCGTCAGCATCAATGACGTAAGATAATGTGACAGCTGGGCTCCTGGTCAAAGAGCGGGTGCATAAAATGCCGATTAATGTCTGCTTTGTCACAAACCTCATGCTTCGTGCATCTCATGAGCACGCTAATTCAAAAAAAAATCGCAAGCTAATTACTGCCGCTTAAACCGAACCAGCTATAACCTTGAAATCAAGTGTTGCACGGAAAAGACCACAACGGTCATTATCTGGCTTCGATAGTTTCGGTTTCAGGTGTCGTCGATCAGTGATGTATGGAGGAACACCGTATCTTATCACCGATGTCAACTAATCTCTTAACTACATC